TTCTAAGACTTTGTTGTAATCATTCTGCCTGCGGAGGATATCGAGATAAAAAATTAGAACGTGAGGTTCGATAATGAACTATATAAAACCTGTGGTGATGGCCTTATATAACTGTAACCTCTAAGCTGCAGTATTTTGGGGATGTTCCATCCTACCATGCGTCGACAATGTCGGTCCACTTTTTGGTGTGTTTAGGAAAAATATCCATAAATATTTCTGAAATTTATACTTCATGTATTTCGACAGACATTCAGGCATCTCCTCCACATATTGATAATTTCTGACGGGAAGAATTGAGATACATAACTAAAATATTGGGTTGTAAAATGGCATATATCGGTCATTAATTGGGCATAGCCCAATATAATTTTGCAATCTAAATTGCAGTAGTTTTAGGATTTTATACTCTACCATGCGTTATTAGTATCAGTCACGCTTTGGCGGTTTCAGATTTTAGGAAAAATCCCCATTAAAATTTTCAGAAATTTTTATTTGGTGTACAAAATCGTTTACATAAATCCGTTTGTAGAATTATCGGTATAGGTTAACTTTTTGGTATTTTCCCTATATTTTCATTTCAAGTATCTGTCAGTATACCTATGGTGGAGGATATCCAAAGTTCGGCCCGTCCGACTTTACTACTTTCCTTACTGGTTTTAATTAATTTTTTCCAAGGCTACATAAGGCGTGGATTGTTTAAAAACACATTTCCAAGGCTATTATTACAAATGGAGTTAATCGAAATCATATTACTACTGGAGTACCAACATTTTTTTGGGGTGTTGCCAAAACAGCTTCCAAAACGCACAACTGTTTTTTTATTTTCATCCTGTCTCTGTTCGTGTTCTGGCTTAGACTTGTTTCACGCACTGTTGTAATGCCAGACAAATGCTAGCCAAATCGATCGACGTGTATGTGCTATGCCTCCCTTACCCCTGGCATTGACATTGATTCGATTGCATTTAGAACGTATATTTTTATGGCAATTTGTCAAATTGAATTTGAAATTTCGCAAATGAAACGAAAACATGTTTAGGCGTTTGTCAATATTAGATTTATATGAAAACGCAACAAAAAGAGAAAAAAAAAACGTTGAGTTGTCAAACGAAAACGGAAGTAGAAATTTATTTTCTTCTTTTTTTTTGTAAAGTTTATTTTTTCGTTCTATTCAATTAAGATATATTAAGTAATTTATTTGTTAATTATAGGAGAGATAAAATAGCAATTTATGTGAAACAGTTAAAACGATTTATAATAAACTGGTCGGGGGAATATGAAAAAACAACAGTTGGCATAAAAAATAATAAATGAAAAAAATATTTTTTTAATTCTCGCTTGAAAAAAAATATTTAAAAACAGCCTCACCATATGGTTGGCTTCAAAAAAAAATTAAAAATCTACGCCTTATGGGTGCCTTAAGAAACATATTTTAAAAAACCCACGCCTTATGGTTACTTACTTCACTTAGCTGGCTTGTGACAGAACTTTCGTTCCACAAGCCAGGCTTAGAAAAGATTTCCAGGCAGTTTTTCCAATTTGAAATACCATTTTCGGCAATGATGTCTTCGACTTGATCTTTCCATCGTGTTCTTGGTCTTCCCCTTCTGCGTGAACCATCAGCTGGTTCGCTTTTATGTGGCTTTTGGGCTGGGGCATCTTCATCCATTCTTACAACATGACCTAGCCAACGTAGTCGCTGCAGCTCAATACGACTATCAATGTCGATGTCCGAGAATAGCTGGCTCATGGTTCATTCGACGCCGATATTCACCGTCGACGCAGATCGGCCCGTAGATCTTTCGGAGAATTTTTCTCTCAAACACTTCAAGAGGTGCCTTATCTGCTTGTGCAAGAACGTATGCTTCAGATCCATATAATAGCACGGATAGTATCAGCGTCTTGTAAAGTGTGAGTTTGGTCTGGCGGGAGGTGGCCTTGTTTCTAAACTGCTTACTTAGACCATAGTAGCTTCAGTTGGCCATCACAATCCTTCTCTGAATTTCAAAACTGATTTTTTTATTTATGGCGGTACCAAGGTATATAAAATTTTTAATTACATCGAAACTGTAGTTCTCAAGTTCCACAGTTAGTCCGAGTCTACTGGACGTCTTGCGCTTTGATACCATCAACTTGGTCTTCTCGCTGTTTACTGCCAGACCCACTTTGGCAGACTCCTTCTCAATTTGTTCCAAGGTGGCTGTTATCGTTCGGAATGTTCGACCCATTATATCGATGTCATCGGCGTAGGCGAGTAACATTTGTTGTTTGGTGTACAGAGTGTCATTTGCCTTTGCATTTCGTATGACCTTTTCCAGCAGGATGTTAAAAAGATCACACGACAAACTGCCACCTTGTCTGAATCCACGTTCGGTATTAAAGGGCTCCGAGAGGTCCTTTCCGACTTTAACTGCTGATCTTGTGCCAGTTAAAGGTATCCTACATAGCCGAATTTATTTTGCAGGAATGCCAAACGCAGACATGGATTTATACACCTCTGAACGGATAGGGCTGTCGAATGCGGCTTTATAGTCGACAAATAGGTGGAATGTGTCGATGTGTTTTTCGTGGTTTTTTCCAGGATTTGTCGCAGAGTGAAAATCTGGTCAATGGTGGAATTGCCAGATCTGAAGCCGCATTGGTGTGGTCCAATAATGCTATTGACCATTGGCTTCAATCGTTCACACAGCACAGTGGATAGCACTTTATATGCGATGAAAAGGACACTTATTCCCCTATAGTTGGCACATATCGTCTTGTCTCCTTTTTGTGCACGGGACACATGATGCTGAGGTTCCAATCATTGGGCATGCATTCATCTAGCCAAATTGTGCTAATCAGCTGGTGCATGCTCCTGACCAGCATCTGACCACCAGTCTTGAATAGTTCGGCTGGTAACCCATCGGCTCCGGCTGCTTTATTGCTCTGGAGCCGATTAATTGCTTTTATGACCTCATCTTGGCTAGGTGGTATACACTCTATACCATCATCTCTTATTGGTTCTGAGGTATCTTCTTCACCGCCACTATTTGATACCAGAAGTCTTTCAAAATGCTCCTTCCAGATCCTCAGCACGCTGTCTGTATCTGTCAACAGATTTCCTTCTTTATCTCTAGAGGAGGATGTGCCTGCAACAAAAGCCTTCGGTTGGGTGTTTTACCCGTTGGTAGAATTTTCGGACTTCATTCTGACTCCTGTAGATCTCGATTTGCTTACGCTCACGTTTTTCTTGCTCTTTCTTCTTTTTTCTGAAAACACGTTTCTCCCCTCTCATTTTCTCCTGATAGTTCTTCGTCGCATTAGGTGTTGCTACTGTCCGCAGGGTTGCCCTATAAGCTGCGTTTTTCATATCAGTAGCATTACGACACTCCTGATCGTACCACGGATTTCTTGATGGTGGTCTTTGGTACCAAAGTGTTGCTTTTGCTGCAGTTTTTAGGGAGTGGGCAATTCTCTGCTATTGTGCTTCTATATTATTATCAGGGCAAGGGGTGCTTTCGTCAAGCAGTTGGGTAAGTTGAGCGGAGTTTTTCGACGTCAAATTTCCGTGATACATTAGATTGCACCGTTGCTGCTAAATTAAGACGGGAGCGTACCTTGGCTGCCACAAGGTAATGGTCCGAATCGATATTCGCTCCCCGGATCGATTGGACGTCTAAAAAACTGGATGAATGCCTTCCGTCTATCACAACATGATCAATTTGATTTCTCGTTACTTGATCAGGAGAAATCCAGGTGGCCTTGTGTATATCGAGATGCTTGAATCTGGAGCTGCTAACTACCATGTTTTTTGCTGCCGCGAAGTCAATCATCCTCATGCCGTTGTCGAATGTTTCTTCATGAAAGCATAATTTTCCGATGGGGGGCCAAACATAATTTCCCTTTCGATTTTAGCATTAAAATCTCCTAGCAGATTTTTAATGTCATGGCCAGGGCAGCGGTCATATCCTTTTTCTAGGCGTTCGTAAAATATGTCTTTGGGTCTGCTCATCTTTGTCTTCGGTCGGAGCATGAGCCCAAATAAGACTGATGTAGAAGAACTTGGCTTTTATGCGGATTATAGCAATTCGCTCATCTACTGGAGTGAATTTGGAGACGAGGTTAATAGGAGAAAAAAAGTATTCTCCTATTAACCATAAATCCCCAGCCAAATTCATGTCTCGTTTCATGGCAGCTATAATACAGGCGTAATCATCTGATTAGGTACGCCAGTCCCTTTCCATCACATTTCCTGTAATGCAATAATATCGGCTTTGTACTTCTTGAATACATCCGCCAAAGCGACAACTGCGCCTGTTCTGTACAAGGTGTGCACATTCTAAGTGCAGAATCGCAGATCGTGGTCCTTTATACGTTTGCTGGGGTCGTCAACATTAGGTGGGTTTGGTTTTATTTTTCTTTGCCTTTTCATAGTAGGTTGGGTTTTTCGAGAGTGGGCAACTAACCCGACGCCGACCCATTTTTTTATAAAATGAAAAAAATGGGTTGCTGAAAATAGCTATCCCAGGTGACACCGCGGGGAGGTCAGTGTCCACAATTGAGATGACAGAGGGACCAAAATAAGCCTGGACTTCGCCATGTTAAAGCCAATCAGATCCGTTGCTTGGTATCTATCATCCCCTACGCCACCCAGGCTTTATGGATGGGTTAAAAAATTATTTAAAAAAAATCCACGCCTTATGGTTGGCTTGGATTTTTTTAAATCCACGCCTTATGGGTGTTTTAAAAAAATATTTAAAAAGCCACGCCTTGTGGGTAACTCGAAAAAAATTATTTAAAAAAATCCACGTGGGTGACTAGAAAAAAAAAATATTTAAAAAAAATCACGCGTTATGGATTTCTTAAAAAAATCTCCTTTTTTATAATCCAAACAATATTTCTTTACATTTTTAACTATATATTTTTTATTAATAACTTTAGTTAAGTGAATTAAATGACTGGGCGATTAGTATTAAATTACAAAATAATAAAATTAAAAACAAAACTTAAATTACACACTTTGTTTAAAAAACTAATGCTAGTATAGATGTAAAAATTACACATATAAAGACCAGCTTCGACACCAGTCGTGATGATTGGCCATGATTATAGTAGCCACCGAACACTTGTAGATTAGCCGTTTCGATACTTCGCTTACAATAATCACCGTCATAATTCCAGCCAACATATTCATTGGTACGCAAATTCTCCAAACGTAACCATTCCTCGAGGGGAGCAAAATATTCACGCAGCGCAGAACCGTCAAGACGGCCTTCGCCCAATGCTTCTTCCATAATTTCCTGCCACGGTTGTGAGGAGCCTTTGGACATGATTTTTCTGTAACGAGAGAATAGCAATTCATTAGACCGTACAAAATTGTTAACAATTTCGTTCGCAAATAGAATTGTCAAGACTCACTTTAATAAATTGCCAGCCTCCGGATGACGATAGACATCACATTTGTGCAACGGTTTGCGGGGATCATTGGGATCATATTGACCAGCAGCACGACACATGCCACGATAGATTTGAAATTGCAAGACATTGGAAACGAAATATCTAGTGGGGGAGAGAGGGGAGAGAAAAAACGAGAGAGGAAGACATTAGTGATTTGAAAAAAATACATTTGAAAAATTGATTTGGTCTAGTAACTCGTACCAAAAAATAAAATAAAAATCGAAAAATAACATTTAAATTTATTGGACTTCTTCTGATTATGTTGGTCATCATCATCATTTGGCCTTTTACACATGAATGCCAGTCAGGGCATACAAAGACCCACATACACACACATTAGAATATCTCAACAAAGCCCTGACCCAATGACATATCAAAAGACTGAACCTAAGAAAAATGTTAACCGAATACCAAAATGGCATTTGGTGGTAATAAAGCAAATGATTTTTTGGCCAAAAAATCACAGCAGCAATCGCCTTCATCATCATCGACGTTAAATGGAATACCCCATGGGTCTCATAAAATTTTTTACGTTGGTCAATTTTTAGTGCGTTCCATTGCATAAATTTGCAATATCATGGATTATTGAAATGATAACAAATAAAAATTATTTTAATGAGATTTTGCCAAAAAAAAAAAAAAAAAAAAAATCGAATGAAGTATGGGTCTTAAGTCTTTTGTTATGTCTAACAAAAGGCGTGGATTTTTTAAATAATTTGTTCAGGGACTACCATAAGGCGTAGAAAAATATTCTTTAAAATAATCCACGCCTTGTGATAGGCTCTAGAATAAAGTTACGGTGCAGGGAGTTAATAATCCAGTTCCGGCGGCAATCGTTGGTGAGGTCACAAGCCACGTGTCGTCGAGATCAAGCGATTGTGAACCGGTTGCTCTAGGCGTGGATGCATTGGCACCTGCATCTGTTACAAGTGCATCAATTCAAAACCAAAACGTTGACGAACCGACTATTCCTTTGGCAAATAAGACTGATGAAAATCAGTCTCTGGCTGACAGAACAGGATCTCCCTCCCGAATCCTACTACTCGCACAAAAATGGTAGAATCAGCGAAGCCCACTATCTCTGACAAAGGTGCTAAGCCGACTTCTGACCTGAAGCCCAGCTCTAAGCCGAACCTTAATAAGAATGCACCGGAAAAGGCAATTGAGAACATCCCGAAGCAAAATGTCACCCACAAGGGTGATCAACGTGTGGAGGACTCTGTCTCAAAGCCCGATTCTGCGCCTAACGACAAAGGTGAAGCTAAAGCTTTGGGTGAATCCACTAGTGGTCGAATAGGAAGGGTAAGTCAGTCAAGGAAGCATCGTCTCCTGGGGAGTAGATGTCGCCCCACAGAGCAAATCTGCAACCCTCACACAAGAAGACGATGACCTCTCGTCTGGCAGATCCTTTTACCTCATATGCGGCTGTCGCTAGACAACAAACGGCGGGGAAACAGCTAAGTACAAAGTTCCAAAGTTCGTAGCCAAAGACAGCGTAAGCCATATGACAGACCGACCAAGGTAGCCGCTGAAGAAGACCTTCTACTGGCAATAATCGACAAATCTGATCCTCATGGCAGGATCAGTCACCCATTGTCTGTGGATCGGACCAAGGAGATCGTCAGTTTGGTAGTGCCTTCATGTAGAAGGGTGCCAAAGTCATCAATTGTCTGAACAAGAAATCTAAGGATTTCCTTTTGAAAACCGTTGGTGGTTTTGGGGCGCTCTTGGAAGGAGCCAACCTTGCTGCGGTCTCCCTATCCGAAATCTCAACCAGACGGGTCCTTTCAGCCTGGGTTCCTCCACCTTCAGTGGACAAGGAGCTCCTGCTGAAAATGCTGGCTCTGCAAAATCCCAGCCTCACTACATCGAACGAGGATGGTGGGATAGTTGCAAGAGTTGCGGTTGACCCACCGGAGGAGGCATATCTGAACTTTGGTTCAGGATGGGTTCTGTTTCGACTGAACATATCCAACGAAACTCAGTAGGAGTAGGGAAGCGGCATAGGCTGCGCATCCTGCAGATCAATCTGCATCATTGCACGGGGGCTGCCGCCGAACTATTCCTGTCCCTCATGAACTCTGAAGTGGACATCGCCTTAGTTCAGGAGCCATATATTTATAAAAATATGGTTTCTGGATTAAGGAATGCTAACTTTGGCATATTCGCCGCATCCATGAAATAGTCTTGGATAAATTTCTGTGAGTCGATAGAAGGAGTCAACGACGCTGCTAAGTTTCGACACTCAACTTTTTGTGACTCCGGATTTGGATCTCATAGGCAAGGTGGTTAACAGAAATAAGATACGATGCGTAGTCAATATTTTCAAACCGTATAAATCGCCAGGACCAGATGGAATTTCACCGGCAATGCTTCAATTTGCCTCGCCATGTATATATCTGATCCTTGAAAGGATATATACGGCGTCTATGGAATGAGGTAAAGGTTACTTATATTCCCAAAGCAGGGAAACCAAGCCACTCTGCACCAAAGGACTATAGACCCATTAGCTTATCATCCTTTCTAGAAAATACTCCTTAAATAATCCACGCCTTGTGATCGGCTGTAGAAAAGTATTCTTTAAAAATTCCACGTCTTCTGATAGCCTCTAGAAAAACATTATTTAGAAAATCCACGCTTTATAAGAGGCTGTAAAAATATTCTTTAAAAAATCCACGCCTTATAAGAGGCTGTAAAAATATTCTTTAAAAAAATCCACGCCTTATAAGAGGCTGTAAAAATATTCTTTAAAAAATCCACGCCTTGTGATCGGCTCTAAAAAAATATTCTTTAAAAAATCCACGCCTTGTGATCGGCTCTAGAAAAATATTCTTTAGAAAATCCACGCCTTGTGATCGGCTCTAGAAAAATATTCTTTAGAAAATCCACGCCTTATAAGAGGCTGTAAAAATATTCTTTAGAAAATCCACGCCTTATAAGAGGCTGTAAAAATATTCTTTAAAAATTCCACGTCTTCTGATAGCCTCTCGAAAATATTCTTTAAAAAATCCACGTCTTATAAGAGGCTGTAAAAATATTCTTTAAAAATCCACGCCTTGTGATCGGCTCTAGAAAATATTCTTTAATATTCTTCTTTAAAAATTCCACGTCTTCTTATAGCCTCTAGAAAAATATTCTTTAGAAAATTCACGACTTGTGATAGCCTCTCGGAAAATATTCTTTAAAAAATCCACGCCTTATGTTGACCCCCTGAAATTATTCTGTAATGCGGATCCGTTTTCATTGTAACAATGAAAAGATTTTTTTTTTTTTTTCAATTTTAACAAATTTATTTTCCCATTACCTTGTTGCAAATAAACACACACACAGGTACACACAAAATTACAACATCTATTGTCGTTATATATATATATATATATATATAATTGTATTATAATTTATTATAATAAATTTTTGATTTATGACAAATCTTATTCGCTTTATTGTCACCCAATGCAATGAAATGAAACAAAGTGAATGAAAACCGAACAAGACTGCTATGGTCGCAAGAGGAGTGGGCGGCGGGGGGAACTCAACAGAAATTAACAATTGTGTAAAATTGTCACCATAAAAATTCTCACATTTACGCCTTCTCGACCGGCAACCATTGCAAATGGTCCAAACTCTACCGCCGAATGACTGTTAGCCAACAAACAATAGGTTTGTAGCCGGTTGTTATGGTGGAGGTCCAAAGCCGACACCAACACCAAAAACAACCCGACCAACTAAGACACCAAAAACTTTGCATGTCTATAAATAGTTTACAATCTAAAAAACCATGGCTGGGTTGTAAATCACGATTTGTTTCGATTTGAACCACATTAAATAAGACTTCGCATTCACCCCGCTCTACCAGGCCAATTTCGTTTTTAAGATTTTTTACCCCAAACTCCTAGACTTAGATTTTTGAAAAGTGTACAACAAAATGATTGCACATGGCCATTGTTATGTAAAAGGATATGGACATGGCGAAGAAACACACAGACGTGAATGGACATGCAATAATAGCAACAACAACAAAATATCTGTATGGGAATTAAGAAACCAAAACCCGCATC